AACTTAATTCATCTTACTTTTTGAAAACTATTGGTGTATGTGTGTGTATGATGAACCCGTCTACCAACCACTTTCTGCGACAACTTCCAATCTTGTACGAATCATTTAATATGATCCTTCAGTCTTTAGTGTTTCCACTTTACAAGGCCTATTTCCATTTCCCCTGATGTTCAATGTTCAATCTGTGTTCCTGTCTTTTCCTCAAAGGTCCTGCATATTTTCGGCTTGTAGTGTAATTGCTTGCTCCGAGTGTTTGGTACCCACCCACGAAGCCAGTAATTAAACACTTGGAACTTGACGTGTTTAAATTAGAATCGGGAAAGGGTTGCATTTCTTACAAGTCTCCGGGGATGATAGGGAAATTTATTTTCTTTCGCCGAACATGAATATGCATCGCGAAAAGAGCTTGAATAAATTAACTATTTTTAGCTTTTTGCGTCAGAGATTGTTTCAAATTTGTTTGGTTATATGTAATTGGTTTTTTGAGAAAATAAAGCCCATTATTTTTATGGTCTATTTGATATATTTGCGGCTCAGTCTTGCTGGAATCATATAGGGTAGGGCGGTGCATAAAAGTCCAATGTCTTATTTTTAATTTTAAAGAGATTTTACGAGGTAATAACTACATTATTCAACCAATGCGAAATAAAAATTTCATTGGCATATTTTTACAAAGATCACACTGTATATAACATTGATCTGGTATTTTGTCAGAAATACTCATCAGCAGAGATGAGTAACCATTAATTTAATTTATTCTTATAAAATAGCTTTTTTTAACATAATTTACGGTTTTATTACTATTATTTATTGTTTACACTTTTGTCAGGATAAAGGTTTAGTTGGTTCTTTTTACCCCTTCCATTTGCAAGCTTTTATAGACGTTGTATAAAAAACCGATCTAAAATTAACAATGTATCTTATAAAACAAACAATAGCGCATATTTAAAAATTATATTAAGGTCTTATAAACTAAACAACAGTGCTCACAACCAATATAACTGACAACGAAGGGAAATACTTTTGATATGAATTTCAAACATTGCCGTTTATCTCCCGATAGCGACCTGTCCGGGGCTAGTTATACATCTTTTTCCCTCTACTTTCAAATATTTCTGTTAAAATATTTCTAACTTCACTTGTTTTTGAGATTACTTGGTGGATCTTTTTACTCGGCTTCAAGCTCCGCTCTATCCTATTTAAATTGCAGCCAACTGAATATTTAATTCATAATTTTATTTAAACTAATTTATAGTCTATCCTATATTTTATTATTTAATATATGTTTATGAAACATATTAATTAGATATCTCGTTGGTTACAAATCCAAATTAAATTTGTATCTGAAATGAGTAGTTTTCCTACTGCTGAAAGTAGGAGTAGGAGGACTGAAAACGAGTGTTTTTTCCTAGTGTTGAAATATTTATTGCAAAATTTTTAAAGTTTTCTTTTCCCTGATATCATACGTAATATAAAATATTTTTATTATCTCGAAACTTTTCCGACGCCCGCGTTTACAATAAGAAGGATACTTCGCTAAATGTATCGGGGTGTTGAAATCCTTTCGAGTGGGCATTTTGCAGACTTAAAAGCTAGTGGGTGGTCTTGTGGTACTATCTTACAAAAAACGTAAATTTAGTTATATTCTAATCTTGTCTCTATTATTATATTGAATAATATATTTTCAAGTTAATTCCTAATTATAGAAATATGTTTCTTATCTATTTTTCTAAAATTTGTCATCTGTTCCTTTTTACCTCATAGGTTGGGTAAAAAAGGATAGTCATCAACCAAAGAAATACAATTCCTTATTTTTAATTTTAACAAAACAATAGCTGAGTTTTAACCAATGCGAAATAAAAATTTCAAGAGTACACTTATCTGGTATATTTTACCAAAAATATTTATCAGCAAAGTTAGAATAACTTAATAAAATTATATTAATTTACTGTAATAACAATTGTAAATGTTATATAAAAACATGTTCAATCTAACTCAAAATTAACAATACATCTTATTCAATTAAATAATGTATACTTGAAAAAATACTAAAGATTTCATAAACTAAATGATAGTGCTCACAACCAAAAAACTAACAACGAAAGTAAATACTTTTGTTATAGATTTGTTTATCTCGTGATAGCAACGTCTTGAGAATTGAGATGGCTGGTTACACATGTTTTACCCTCTTTTTTCAAATATTGTTATTTAAAGAAATTCTGAATTTACTTGTTTTTGTGGTATCGGACTTTCAAGCCCCGTTCTACCCTATCTTGTTCGGTTTATTATCGACACGTTCATCAATTAAATTATACTTTGCATAATAGTGAATGTTATTAATTAGAATACCAGACACGCCAACTTTTTTCGTGTACCTTTTATTTGTTAAGAATTTAAAACAAACTAGTCACTAATTAGCATGTATATTATGCAATTGTTCGTCAGTATAGATCGATTATTTGGTATATAACAATAATAACAATAACAATAATTTCAATCCAATAAGAAAAGTACAACGTGGTTTTAAATATAAATGTTGTTGAATGAATTCAAAAAATTTCTTTTATGTCACACGTCGTTTTATTGATAGTAAACTCTGTAACAATTTCATGGATTATCCTCAAATGTTCCCAAAATCTCTATATAAACTCACATATTTTTTAAATATGTTATTCCTATGTCTAATCATTTTCAAAAACTTATGACTTTTTAGATATTTTTTAGATTTAAAAACATTAATTTCATTGAATAAGCTAAATTAAGTGTACTGGTAATATATATGAGTTTATTACCCAAGGGTATTATACTCTCACAGTTTCATATACTCGTACATATTGCTATACATGCTTATGTCTTTTAAAATTAACTTGAGGGTAACTGAATTAAAGAAACTTATATCCATAATGCATCACTAAATCAATCAATTATCTAATTTATAATAACACTAATCCGCAAAAGTTAATTATTCTAATCTCCATTTATTCTCTTTTTTCTATTATATTTCATTTAGTTTTAATAATCACTTACAATTATTATTATTTTGTGTTTTCATCTTATTATTTTTTACTAATTATATTTGCAAGTTGTTTTGGAGCTACTACATCGACTATGTAATGAAATAAAAATAAAAATACTTAATTTTTTTTTGAAAATCGAATAAATTCTATGTCGAAGGGGCTTTCTTTAATGAAGATTAGTTAGAGAGAATTTTACTTAAGAATCTAACATGTCACTACTTCATCTAACCGATCTAACAATTATTGCTCCTCAAAGATAAATCTTCCGAATCAGGTGCATCTTGTTTGCAATTGTAATCTGTTTACAAAGATTCATCCTCGAATTCTTATTCTTCAGCTTAACCACTAATCTATCCCCCGGGCAATGCAGTGCTTTTCGACAGCCTCTTCGGGGTAAGGGGGCCCTCTAAGGGTGTGGGTCGGTCATCAGTCACGACGAAGTCTCGTTATTGCAGCCGTTTACTATTGCCGTCACGTACGGTCGACAAGTCGAAAAGCGCACTATGGAGAAAAGTGTGGGAGATTCTTAGATTTGGGACGCACCGAATGCTATTTTTTTGGTTGACATGGAAATCGATAATGAGATAAGGAGATCAGGATCTTGTCAAGATACATTTAAAAAAGATGAGAAAGAATTCGTTACTCGGGATATAAATTCTATCTAGCCTAATATATGATAAAATAACTAGAACAAGAT